ATCAAAATAAAAAAAAAATCACTGCAAAAAGAAGGTTGGGACCTGGTGAATACAGTAAAAAAATTTCTATATAAAAAATAAAAAAATTTTTTTAAACAATAATAAGAAAAAAAAAGTGATAAATATAAATATAAATATAGATATTAATAAATGTATACATTTTACAAAATGTTTAATAAAGTATACATAACTAACATGATGAAGGATAAAAAAAAATTAATAATTAATAATTGATTTTAAAGATAATAAATATAACAAATGGATCTAAATCCTTAAAATTCTACTTTAAGAACTATTATCATTATCTAACAAATTTGTTATTATGAAATAAAACAGCAAGTACTGCATTTCAAGATACTATATAAAATAAGATTAAATTTCAGTATTGTAAAACCATAAACTGAGCAGTTTATACACATTTTCTTTGAATCACCATGCTGTGATTAGATTACGCCACACTTTACGGCAATTTGAAATAGACGCCGCTCTTTTTGAGGTAGTTTTTAGATTGAAATGTATCTCTTATCTAGACCATTTGCTTTCTATTTCAATAATCATTTCCCCAAAATTTATCCTATCCGTCATTCCTCCTCATCCTCATCTAAAAGGTGGAATGCAAGAAAAAGTCGAGATCCATTTGTAAAAAAAGCAGCATCACAAAATTTTAGTAAATATGAAATTTCTTTGGATCTTATATTTCAGAGATAAAATGGATTGCATTCGATTTTACAAATTTAAATAATTAGGAGCTCGTAGTGCATATAAGTTACAGGAATTGGATGAAAAATACGATATTATTAAACCGAACTCTGTAATTGTTGATTGTGGAGCTTCTCCAGGAAGTTGGAGTCAGTATACTTCGCGTAAATTGTTTCCGAACGCCGGTTTTTTGGAAATAGAAGAAACACAGAATGATGGAAGTCGTAATAGTGGTCTAATAGTAGCTATTGACTTGTTTCATATTGAACCGATTGCTGGAGTAAATACAATACAAGGTGACTTCACTGAGGCGAAAACACAAGAAAATATTAGAAATCTGCTAGAAGAAAGAGAGGTTGATGTGGTTCTTAGCGATTTAGCACCTAAATTTACCGGAATCCATTTCGTGGATCACACTAGGTCTATGGTAAATGGATGCGGAATCATTTTTCGCGTAAATCGGTAAACTTCAATAACTCGTATTTATTTTTATTAAGGAATTATGCGAATCATCGTTTTCTTTTGCTCAACAAGTTTTAAAACCTGGAGGAGCTTATTTGTGCAAGGTAAAAAAAAAAAACCGAAAAAGAATTTATATACAAGTCATTCATTTTTCTTTAATGAAAATGCCTTTAATAATCATTTACATTACACTTCGCCTCTTAAGTTCATAATGGGAGGGACAGAGCTGGAGTTCAGAAACATTCTCAAGACTATGTTTGAAATAGTTCGTCACGAAAAACCACAAGCTTCCCATAAAGAGTCGACTGAAGGATATTACGTATGTTTGGGTTACAAGGAAACACCTAATTAATAATAATTGTATTGATCAAATTTAGAAAATTATTCATTTGAAAAATAATGCTTATGACAAAAAGTTAGGCAATGTTAAAGTATAATATTACTAATATATAAAAGCTATGACCGTTTGTGCGAATAAATAAAATAATCTGTCATCAATATAAATCTGTCTCGGTGAAATCCACGCTAAATCCTTGATCGTGTAGCAATTTATTCTTGAGTTTTTCACGCTTTTGCCGTTCTTCCATTTCCCCACGTTGTGCCTGCAAAATTTCCTCAACAGGCACCTGTCTGAGAGGTAATTCATCTTCTTTGTCAAGATCCTTGTTATTTTAAAAATTGTCCTTTATGTAGATTTATAAATCTAGTAAAAACATTGCCCGAGCGAAGACCAATAAATTCCCTTACAATTTCCCCTAACAAGACAACGTTTTCACCTCTGATTATAAAAATTCCTCGGGGAATATCTCCATATGCATCACCAACATATATTCTTTCTATCGTGTCCTGTAATACTAGGTTTGCTAAAATACGAATTCGATTATAGATATAGTTATCCGGATTTACGCGAACTTTGTAAAAAATGCATTTAGCTTACCGAATTGATCAAATGATCTTAGGATCCCAATTAATTTACGCCCATCACGAAGTACTACCAACAATTTTCCTGAAGCACGTATGCAGAGAAAAACCAATATTTTTAAGAATTCGACAATTTCCAGGTATCAGAAATAACTAGCACAAGAAACGATCTGAGTAAATAAATAATAAATTAAATTTACGATCAACGCTATCAACCAAGCTGGCCGACGTTGTAAAAATTTGTCCTGGGATGAAATTATCCATCATTAAATATCTGTTTTTCTATCTAAGATTCTTTACGATCTATCGTTGCAGTGATGGAATGATGTGACGATCTGCTGCAATTACTGAATTAGTAAACTATTGCTAAATGCACAGTTTAAAAATCATGGCTGCATCGAATCATGTGCAAATCTAACCAATGAATTTTGTGCTTCTAGAAATCGAAATTTAGAGTACGAGATATTTTTAATATAAAACTTTTTCTTTATATTAAGTATTAAATATTTTTTATCAAAAAATTTTTTATTTTATTTTTTAATGTTAGTTCAGACTTGTCAATTAGCTTTAAAAAGTACTACTTCAATTATTATTGTTATACTATTAAATATTTTTAAATAAAATAAATCAAATTCTATCTATTGAATTATATATATGACTGCTTCCAAAAGTTTAAGTCCACTTACTATGTTTTTATTATAAATTTTAACTTTATCAATTTTTAAATCTTTAATGATACAATTAAAAATTATAAAAATTATACAGTTGCTTCCAAAAGTTTGAGTACACTTATTATGTTTTTATTATAAATTTCAACTTTGACAATTTTTAAATCCTTAATTATGCAATTAAAAATTATAAAATTCATAATATTATAC